GGAAAGGGACAAGAAATAAGATTTTTTTTCCTCTAGAACTTCCTTCAGAAGACATTGCACTCTGTCAACCTCTTAATGTCAGCCCAGTAAGATCAATTTTGGAATTTTGACCTCCAGATATGTAAGATAACAAATTTATATTGTTAAAGCCATTAAAGCTGAGGCAATCTGTTGCAGCAGCAATAGAAAACTAATGTAACGGTAGTTTGATAGTCTTCAATAATTTCAACATCTATGTTATCTCAGGATTGGTGACTATTGTCTATGTTTTCTCAACTTTTGATTTTCCTAGTTCTTCATTAACTGTATAATTTTAGATCATATTCTAGATATTTCATACATTATGATTTGAGAGCCTGTGTCTTGTTTAAATGCTAAGGTTAGTATTTTTTTAACAAAGCATTTCAACTAGCTAGAGGTACGCCACACCACAAGTTTCAATTCACCTGTGGGCTCTAGCTACAGGTCTGTTCAGTCCTCAAAGTCTTTACCGTCCTATTTGAAACTTGTCCATTTTACCCAGTCTCTATGTATATGACATCCAGTGGCCAATCTGGCACCTGGGCAGTGGCGCATCCTGTAATTCAAGTCCCAAAGCCTTTGACACACTATTTAGGTCAGATCAGCATATGCTCAACTAAAAGTTGAGCTCTGGAGTTCACATTCCACCTTAGGAGACGGTTCTTTTGAGCTTCATTTTCACTACAATCTCCCCAGACCCTTTCTGGCTTTTCTTTTAATCCCTACTTTTGGTCCTCCAGCCAAAAATGTGGGGCAGAAATTTTCCCAGCCTGAGAGAAAATCTTAACATATTTCCCTGTAGTACCTATCAAAAGGCAGGAATATTTGAACAAGGTCTGGTACCACATTCTGTTCTCAACCCTAAAGGTAAAGACTGTTTGGATAAGAGTCATATATAGAATAGAATGAGGCATATAAACTTCAACAGAATATAGTAAAGGAAAAAAGTTAAACATTTTATTCTGAAATAATTGTAGACTTACATGCAATTGTTAGAAAGAAAGGAGAAATCTCATGTGCCTTTTGCCCAATTTACCCAATAGTAACATCTTCCAAAACTGTAGTAAAATCTACATATTGACACTGTTATGGTGAAGAAAAATAAATTTCCCTCATACTTCCTTTTTATACCTTAACCCCTGGCAACCAGTCACCCATTTCTTCTCTATGTCTATGATTTTGTCATGTCAAGAATATTATGTAACAGAATCACATAATACATGAGCCATAAATATGAGCCAAAAAAAAGTTTGTACAAGATACTTAATATTAGACCAAAAGGAGGAAATTTTCTTTAAAATACACTAGCAGTAGCAGGACCAGGATCACCATTGAGTGCTCAGTTTCACTCTTAGCTCAATTTCCCTATTCTTTTAAAAGCCTATTACACACACACACACGCGCGCGCGCACACACACACACACACACACACAGATTGCTATGATTAATGTTTATGCCTCCACCCTCAAAAAATTCCTATGTTGAAGTGTTGAGGCCCTCACCCACAATGGTAAGGTATTAGGAAGTAGAGCCTTTGGGGGAGTGATTAGATCATTAAGGAAGATCCCTCATGAATGAGATTAGAACTCTTATAAAGAACGCCCCCCCCCAAAAAAAGAAACCAAAAATAAAAGAGACCTCAGAGACTCTTTGCCTCTTCTACCTTCTGAGGACACAGTGAGAAAATGACCATCTATACTCAAGAAATAGATCTTCGCCAGACACTGAATCTAGACTTTCCTTTTCTTTCAGTCTGTGTGTGTGTGTGTGTTTGTGTGTGTGTGTGTGTGTTTAGGTGGAGGATTACTGGGGATCGAACCCAGGGCTTTCTCACTGAGCTATATCCAAGAGCTTATTTTATTTTTTATTTTGAGACAGGATAATAGTAAGTCACTAAGTTGTCCAGACTGGGCTCAAACTTCTGATCTTCCTGTCTCAGCCTCCCAGAGTGCTGGAATTCCTGGCATAGATCACCATACCTGGTTCTGGACTTGATCTTGGACTTCCCAGCTTCCAGAAATAGGACAAATTAATTTCTATTGTTTATAAAACACCAAGTCTATGGTACTCTTTTAGAGAAACCCAGAAAAGAAACGTGTTATACATACATGTACTCACACATTTCTCTTATGTGTGGATAGGTATATTTCAAAACTTTATACTTTTTTTTTTTAGCAAACCCTAAGATCTTTTACTGTCCATGATACATCTAACCAAATGTCACCAATCATTACAAAGTAGTCCCCTTCTCTGTTATTTTCTCAGCCACTGGTTTTTTTCATTCCTTATCAGAGATTTTGAAGAACTTGGCTTGTGGTCTTCTTCACCACTAAAAGTCGTGACATCCTCCAGGTAGACTTCAATGTTCATGGAGGCAGATCTTTCAGTACATGTAGCTCTTTGTTCCTGAACCTTCTCAGACTTCTGAGGGTATTCATAGGGCAAATCAACTTCTTGCTCAACTTAAATATAACCACATCTTTCCTTTCCTACTTTATACTTTTTTATTAGCTTTTTTTCATAAGAATTTTGATATATTCAAGTGTCTCCCATATTGAAGAAAGAAAATCTTTGAGGTCCCTAATCTCCTATCAACTAAATGTATTGAGTTCTCTTCCAGCCCTTTTCTCAGTTACTCTCCTACCATTCACTTTTCAGCCTAGTACTTATTCTGGTCCACAGGGTTTCATCATTAACAGCTTTTCCTTCTCACACTACAGCACAAACAAAGAAATGTCTTAGACTCCAAGCCTTCAACTGCCGTTTGTATTCTAATGCTCCTAAATCTACTTTTCTAAGCCAGGTCTATTTTAGTCTCAGATTTGTATATTCAACAGTATTCTGAAGCAATATCACTCATTTGGATGACTTTAAAAACCTCAAACCTAGACTTTTCAGATATAAATTTATCCTTTATTCTCCAAAACTATTTTTCCTACTCTTGTATATACTTCAATAAATGGAATCACCAGCCATGCACTTGTACAAACCTGGAGTGTAATGCCTGGTTAACCTAAGCCAACTCTTCAGCCTCCCTTAGTGAATCATTCTTGTTGTCAACTCTCTCTTGAATTCATTGACTTTTCCCCTTCTCGTTTCAGGTCATCATTACTTACCACCTAGAATAAATGACTGAATAGTCTTTATTTACTTAGTTACTGATTTTAATTATTATTAATTAATAAGTTTACCAGTTATTTATTTAGCATCTACTGCATGCCAGACATTGTTCTGAGCACTTCAAATATGCCAGCAAATAAACACATGCTAAAATCCTTGCCCTCCTTGAGGTCACCATGTACTGGAACAAGATAGACAGTGATCAATGAACCTTATAGATTAGTACATTATATAGTATGTAGTAGGAAGTAAAAAGCACTGTTGCAAAAAAAAAAAAAAGAAAGAAAGAAGTGAAGTCAAACAGAGTAAGAAGAATGCTAAGAAGTTGGAGTGGGATTGCTTCTAATATTAAATAAAGATGACATCTAAGCAAAGATCTACTTGGTGTTTGGGAGGAGGAAAAGCTAGGAGCGTGATCAGTTAAGAAAAACTGCAGGAAGTGAAAATCCAAGAAACAGTAACTGAACTACACAAAGAATTGTGTTAAAACCCTGTGAAGAAGGCAGAAAACTAAAACAGAGGTTTAGCTGGATTAAAGTCCCGAGTGGCTAGGAAGGAGAAAACCTTGAGGCAGGGTGCTAAGTAGTGCCGGGGGCACAGAGACAGCCTCAAATCCCTCTGCACTAAAAAACAATAATAGCATGAATACTGTCAAATGGGTTAATACTGAACAGAGACCCCTTACCCACAATCTTCTGGTAAGATAACATGCTTTTAACTTTTGTTTCTGGCTGAGGTGAAGTGAAACATTCAAAAGAAGACACTGTCACTTTCTATGAGACTCTTAAAAAGAAAACAATGCCTACCTTTGTGTGGTCTTTTGAAGCCAAGTAAATGAGCCAGAAAACTAAAATAAATATCACCATCAGCAATAATTTGCGAACTATGGCATTTGGAAACAAAGTGAGTATCCTAGGAGAGAGAATAGGAGAAATAAACACACACTCGATCAATCAACATGAAATAGCTCCGTGTACTCTGGTTCCCCCTCGGTAGCATCCAGAAGAGGGTGATGGTCCCTCAGTGTTCAGAAAGTCCCTTTATATGTTCCTTTAGAAATCAGGAACAAAGCACTTCCCTGAGGCAGGGAACAAAACGAGCTGAAGGATTCCTGGTTTCTGCCTTTCAGGTTACTTCTTCAAGTTTGGGATCACATCAAGTCTCTGAGCCTTTTCTCACATCCAGGATTCAGTGCGATCAGCAAGGGTTTAGTCATTGTTTATTGGAAGAAATACGTTTGTCCTGGTGCCCTGCAATAAATCTCAGTCTCTAAATTTCACACACGGCACACATGCACACCCACACACATTGGACAGCATCCTCCTCTGGTCTTAGCTACCTCCAGAGGCTTAGTTATAAATCTCCCATTTATTTTTGTGGACAGCTTGCTTCCACATCAGGTTTTTATGTCCTCATGCCGAAATAGCTGATAAACAGCTCCCAAAAGAGCAATGCTTATAGTATTTAGAAAAGCTCAGTGTTAGTGGTCAAAATTTTACTTTTACTTTTCATACTCAGAATCCCAAAAGTATGTGACGAAGAGGTAAATTATGCCCATATTCCTCAAACGTTTTTGATTGGACTTACAAGGGGAAAAAAAAAAATCAAATCCCAATTCAGGACCTAAGAACAAGCAAAAAGCATACTCATGAAATGATACTTATTGTATGAAATGCACTGTGATATTTTCTAGTTATTCTACTTTATTCCCTTGTTTTTCATTTTAAAGTACATTCCATTCCCAAATAAAATTATTTTACTATTCCCATCATGCTGCCATATGCAGCACTGTTTAGTCCATGGTTCTCCCTCCTGTCCCTGCCATTAAAGCCTACCAGTACGAATTAGAAGGTACATACCTATGGACGCATGTCTTCTCCATCATATTCTTATATTCTCCCACAGCAGTTACAGCAGTCCAGAGAGTCTCCTTGATTAAAGTAGTCTTTACATTTATTCCAGGCTTGCAGTTTCCCTGTAAGCTTCATTGATCAAAGGAATGCAATTCATGGCCACAGCATGTCAGCTGGTATCACAGATCTCCTTTTCAGTGACCTGTTCCTGCTTATCCCACAGAGCCAGAAGAAAGAAGCCAGGAGGACCCTCTGAAGTTTGCTTTTAGAGAATGGACATCTACGGACAAGGCAAGGTCAGTAACCTCTGGGTGAAGATTTGCATGTTTATATAAAGAGTCCACTTCACTTGCTCACACCTTTGTTTGGCTGCCGTGATGATTATTCAGTCACTTCCAAGATAGCAGAAGGAGAACCTCAAAAACTTTAAACAAAGAAAACAGAAACTCTTTTCCACAGCTTTAGAATGCCTAAGAATTAATTGCTGACTCTTCTTGGTATTTGGAGTGCTTTCTTTGTAAACTTCTCTCTCTTGCTCTAAATCACTGTGTATACAAAAATGATGATTTAAATTGAATCTCAGGCCATAAGGGGAGTAGTCCTAGTCTACATCTCTCTGCAACTTGCAAAAAATAAGAGAGAATACAAAAGAGCAAACTCAGTGGATGTCGGGATCCGGTGGCCTACAAGGAGTTAATGCAACTGGTGGAGAATAGGAAGTGTGCGGGGCGAAATTCTAAGTACTGACTTGTGGGGAGCCAAGGGTTAATTACAATATTAAAGACACATTGCAAGTGAAAATAAGCCGGGGGCGAGGATTGTTAAGAACAGCACAAGGACACGGAGATAGGGTAAGGAAAACACGGGACTGTCTCAAGGCCTGGAGAATCTCCAGATGTGCCTTATGTAAGATGTTTTCTATTCTTGAGTACTATATAAGAGAATAATAAAGTCAATAAAGTTGCTCGGAACTTTCATGAGCCTCCCGTTTCTTGTCTTTCTCTTTCATCCTCACACCCCCACTCGGAAGCTGTTCGACTGCTGTGGCTGGACCGCGGCAAGTGGACATTAGTGTCATGTCATTAAAGTTATTAAGTTGCCACAGAGCAGCTTGCAGCAAGGGGATCTGCTGCTATTATGTGACACAAGCCATGTTCTATATGGCTTGTTCTGCAGAAGGGTCTGTAGATCTAAATGTGTCTGTATACAGACATAGACAATAGACATCTAAATTTAGATATGTACATATACACATGTGTGTTTCATGTATACTCAGATATGTGTATATGTAAATACATATAATATTGTGTTTGCTTCTATTCCAGTTCCTCCAGGCACATGCCCATATAACTGTGTAAATATTGTGACTACAATCACAACATGTTGGAAATTAACAAAAGTTCATTAGATAATTTTCAAAGCAATTTAATAAAAGAAAAGGGCTACAAATCCTGTGAATTCTTCCCTCCTGCTTATAAGGCACGTTCCTCTCCACTGCCATATACTACACACAATATTATGAGATTACAGTCAGGTACCACATGACATTATTCCAATCAATGACAGACTGCACAGAACGTTGCTTTCATAAGATTATATTGCCTAGTGAAAGACTAAATTTAGATTGAATGAACATGGTGCTGCTATAGACCAGCAGCAAAATACTGTCTGTCCAGGACCTAGAATCAGGACAAGAAAAACAATTTAGTGAAGAAGAAAAAAAAGAAAGACAAAACAGTTCTCTGGGAATCAAGAAAGAGCCAACAAAAAAAACCTAGAAACTACAGCGATAATTCAGAGAAAAGAACAAACCAGTTTGGAACACTGAACTTGGCTCCAAAGGAGGAAGGGTCCTGTCTCTGCTAAAACAAAGTAAGCCAGGAGAGAGTCAACAACTCTAGGGAAAAGCCACAGACCAGGACAGTAATACTAGCCCCAAGAAAAGCCTGCAGTAGTTATAAACTGGTAAAACAGGGCCGGGAATTTAGCTCAGTGGTGCTATGCCTGCCTCACAAGTGCAAGGGCCTGACATCAATCCCTGGCATCAAAAAAAACTTTTACCAGGCATAGTGGCACAAACCTGCAATCCCAGCACTTGGGAGGCTGAGGCAGGAGGATCACCAAAAGTTCGAGGCCAGTCTGGACCAGATAGTGAGTTCAGGGCCAGCCTGAACTACAAAGGGAGACCCTGACTCAAAAAACAAAAAAACCCCATAAACTGGAAAAACATCATGATGTTTTAGTCTGAAAGTAACTCTTTCCACATGGCAGAACAGAGTTAGAGAGGAAACCTAGCATAGCACCCACCACATTTGAGAGTGTTTCATCAGAAGCCATTTTGGGAACTGGTTAATTGTTTAAGGCTGAGCTATAGAACAGCTACAGAATGACTATACTTTAAGGTTTCTGGGGTCAGCCTACCACAGTGACTGGGTGGGAGACAGCCACAAAGGACAGACAGAGAGGGTTGGGTTAGATACAGAGCCCCTGGGAAGTTTAAACTCAGGCTAGGAGGAACATGGTTGTCTTTTTCTCTGCAGTGAGAAGCCAAGGGGGTTGTATATGGTTTCAGAGTGCCTTGGGTCTGAAAGTGCTGGGATTAAATGCAGTGTACTGCTTGACACAAACCCTCCCCAACCCACTGCCTACTTTGAGCACAGAACTCAGTGGTCTGCTTATCTTCCAACCTGCCAACGTGATCAGAGATAAATCTTGACTTGGATGGTTGCCACAGTCTGAGCTATATGAGAAAAGTGACTTTTGCACCAGGGTGTAGGACAGTACCCATAAACCCACATATCATAAAGCTCGGTGGAGCAGGCAGTAACTTGAAGTCCAAGGAAACTGGAAATGGCTGGAGAGAATACAGCTCCAGGGCAGAAAGCACTGATCAATCATGCCCAACAGGAAAGGTAGGGCAGGACTTGGCATTCACACACAAAATGTGAGTATGGAAACAAAATAGGACTTACTAGTGACTCACTATTCCTCCCCCAAAATATGAAAGAAAAAGAAGAAAAAAGTAACAGGCAACAAAAAAAAAAAAGAAAAAAGTTCTCATACCCCAAGAAAACCAATGAAGAAAAAGAGAAATAAATCCAAACAATTCCTCCATGTTTTTAAATGAGTATTTTTTTTCCAGGATCTGCACTACCAGATACATATCCAACATACATTTAGTATGCCCAGGAAATATCTGCATTCCCATGTTCATTGCAGCATAATAGCCAAGATATGGAAACAATTTAAGTGTCCAACAACAGATTAATAAAGAAATTGTGATATATATGGTGGGATCTTGTTCACCCTTTAAAAAGAAAGAAATCTTGTCATTTACAATAACATGTATGGACCTAGAGAACATTGTGCTGAGTGAAATGGGCCAAACACAGAAAGACAAATACTGCATGATCTCACTTACATCATGTGGAATATAAAAACATCAAATTCATAGAAGTAGGCAGTAGAATAGTGGTTGCTAGGAGCAGGTTGAGGAGAGGAGAGAAATGGGGGTCAGAGGATCCAATGCTTCAGTTACAATGAATAATGTTAGAGATTTGTTTATACTACAATGGAATAGTACCCTACTGGGTAAACTTACCACAGTTCCTGTATCCATTTATCTATTGAGGGACATGGAGGACACTTTTGAGCTTACCTATGATGAATTGTGTTGCTATAAACATGGACAGTTTCAGGAAGATACCTAGAAGTAAAATTGTGGGGTAATATAATAGTTCTGATTTTAATTTTTTTGAGGAAACTCCATACTACTTTCCATAAACGCTGTACTAATTTACAATCCCAAGAACAATGCATAAGGTCTCCTTTTGTTCCCATCTTATGCAACACTTATCTTTTCCCTTTCTTATAATAATGATTATAACACACTCCAACAAGTTTACTTTGTATGACGTAAGTAGGTACCCTTGATTTCTTTTGGCTATCATTTGCACAGAATTGAACTAATGTGAGTTTTTTGGAGGCAGCATATAATTGAGTCTTATCGTCAAGCTTTTCAGTCATTCCTGGTCTTTTGATTAGAAAATTTAATCCACTTATACTTACATTCAAAGTAATTATTGATGAAAATTTACTACTACCATTTTGTTTACTGTGTTCTGTTTTGTAGTGGCTTCATTTCATTATTATACTCTTACTATCCTCCTGTGTGAGCCTTGAACTCACTAAATAGCCTAGGTTGGGCTCAAACTAGCAAGCCTCCTACCCCAGCCTCCCAAATGCTGGGATTACAAATGTGCACCACCACACCCAGCTTTAGTTTGATGATTTTTTGTAGAGAAATGCTTTGATTCTTTTCTCTATTTCTTGTGAATCTTCTGAATTTTTTTCTTTGTGGTTACCATGAGGTTTACGTAAAATATCTTATGGTGATAGCACACCATTTTATACTGATACTAACTTAACTTTGACAACATACAACTGCAGTCCTAAATTCTGGAAGCTTTCCCCCCAATAAAAGTAAGTGAAATCACTGGCCCCATAAGCTCTAACAAATATGCACACTGTTAGACCCTTCATAATTATTGCAACCACCTATAGCATAGTAAGATAAATGCTTTGTACTCCCAAATATACAATTATAATTAACTCATATTGGTTTTATATTTTTCCCTTTTTGGAGTTTTAAAATTTTTATTGGTACATTTTAGATATACATAATGATAACATTCATCATAGGGAGTTTATACCTGTACATGAGATATCTTGGTTCTTTTTTTCTCATTCCCCTGCCCTCTTCAACTCTCCTTTCCCACCTTATGGAAACAAAGGTTTCATAATATTGCCAGCTTCATGTAACAGACAAAGAGACCAGGACACAGAGAGGGGCTACAAAACTGACACAAGATCACAAGGTCAGTAACTGAGCCTCATGGGTGGATCTCCAGCCTGAACTGCATGAGCCAATTATGTATGATTAAAGTCTTACTATATTTCTCTGAGGATCTATTTATTTCCTTATAATTTTCTCCCTAGTCTTCAAATTTCATATTCTCTATTGATCTATCTTCAAATTTGCTGATTCTGTCACTGTCAGTTCAAATCTCCTGTTAAGCACACCTACCTATATCCTTAGATGGTTAGTTTTTAAAATGTAATTTCTATAGTAAATATAGTTTCTATTTTTTTATTGATAATGTTTTTAAGAAAATATTGTCATCATACCTTCCGTTACTTTTTTAACCAGGGCTTCTGTTAGTTCCTTGAACATGTTTTAATGGTTGCCTTGAAGGTTTTGTCTGACTTGGTCTGATTTCAGCTTCTCAGAGACAGCTTACATTCCCTGCTTTTTTCCTGTTTATGGGTCACATTTACCTATTTCTTTCTTTGAGAATCTCATCATTTTTGTCGAAAGCTGTACATTTCAGATGACATTTTATAGCAACTTTATATACTTTTCTTGTTTGCTTATTCATTTAATATAATTTAGCTTGACTATTTTAGTAAAGCCTACTTCTCATAGAATGTTTAGTCTCTGATGTTACTCAGAAGGTATGCCTTGGACATGAACACAATCATCTTAGGATAACAGAGGTTTTACCAGGGCTCCCTTTGTTCCAGAGGGCTCTGCTAAGTGTCTCTTTGTGTGATTTTCTCTGGTAAATGAGCTGGTCTTTTGTTTCCCTTGTGGCTCTCAAGGTGTTACTAGCCTCTTTTAATTGCCTAAAACCACTATCTTTATTGTTTTTGACACTTTCTTTAGTATTGAACTTACCCTCAGTCTGCTTCAAAGGAGTCAGTTCTCTTGGGAAAATATTTGGAGCATTCTAATCTTATGTTCTGCCTCTAGTCCTGAGCAAAACTTCTGCTGTTGTTCCAGAACTGAAGATGAAGATAGACACAGTGGCACATTTCTTTTAATGTGACAACCCAACTTTACACATATGTCTTTTTGGCTTTCCTCTCTTAGTCAGGGAGCTAAAGTCAGGGGTGATTGGAGTCCTGTTTTCTCAGCCTGTCACATCTGGACTAGTGCCTCATCCTGTTTTATCTGGAATAATGCCTATAAGTAGGAGCTGTGTAGAGAACCACACAGACTGAGGATTTCTTGGCCATTCCTGGCTAGAATAGAGCTTCTGCCACATAGAACTGGTGAGGATGAGAATGCTGATGCTCTGACCCTACTGGAGAGATTCTCTTGACTGAGAGGTGAGGAAGCCCTGTGCTCCTGATTGCACCCGCCAGAGTGCAGCTTCTGTCATGCTAGCT